GCTTTCTCCCGCACTCCGTCTTGAGAGCTCTCCTTGACCATCTGTACATAAACACAGCATCTTCCGACCCTCCCACAACTCATGCCTGCTGCATATTTCAAGAACTCTGATATATCATATTGCATAATTCAATGATTTTATTTATTGTTGATCTCCTCCTCTCATATATACACACCCATGATTAAAATCACCATGTCAGTAGGAACTTCCTCTGTTTTCTTGTTATTGTTGTTGCTATTGTATCTCCTGCATGGAAAATACGTCTCTTTCTCATACACAGATAAAGACATGGAATCAAGTCCAGACCTTTAGCTAGTCTGATGTACAAAGTCCTCCCTAGTAGAGGAATATGGACCCTGCTTGTCCATCCAGCCTCACACCTCCTTCTTACTCCAACAATTCTCAAACTTATGATTTTTTTTCTAATCCTGCCTCCTGTCTGTAAAACAAAATGTAATGGGCTTCGCTATTCTATTTTCATATATGTACATAATGTACTTTGATCATATCTCCTCTGCCATGACTCTATGCTCTTGCTCATGCTGGTCTGTATGCTAACAGTACTCTCTCCATCCCTATAGTCCTTCCTTTGTCTCTCTAGGCTGGCTTCCCTTTTCACTGTATTCTGTGCTCCCATCTCCCAAAGCACTAATGGTACTGAATTGAATTCATATCATTGTGAATCAGTTCTTGTTCCTCTTCTGGGAGGCTTTTTGGGGCCAATGAGATACTTGGTCTTACTCATCTTGCCATCCTCGGCACCAGGCACAAGGCCTGCCACATAAACAGTGCTCAACAGATGTTGAACTGAAAGGCAATTGCAATGACTATACTAAGCTTCAAGAAAAACAATGAAAGGCACAGTTTCCTCTGGTTCTTTGCAGGAATAAAACAACCATGAATAAAGCCCTACCAAATATTTGCTCATGTGAGTTCATCTACCTTATGAATACACTTTGGAAGTTATTTGCTTAGAACCATAAGTCTGTAGAAAGTTTGATCATAATCAGGGTAGCCACAATAGGGTCATTTTTTACATTTGATCATCTCTGCTTATAGATTTTGTTTTTAAGTCTAACATTAGTGCTGTACTGTACTGCCCCAGGAATGTATGGGTGAGAATATACAGGAATGCCCAGTCTTCCCCTCTTAGCACAAACATAGCTTGTCCTTCATAGAAGAATAGACCAAGTTTGCTAATGAAAATGAAATTCCTCATCAGGATCCTAACAACACCTTTGATTGAATATAGAGTATGCCAATGACAGAAAAGATCAATTTTATCGAAACTGCCCAGAGCTATCTCTTATAAATTTTGGAGGAAATGAAATAAGTACATGGCTTACTGTATTTCCAAAAAAGATACTGAAGAAACGTATTTTTTTAGCAAGACTTCCCCATAGGAGAGTAATGGAAGGAAGGGGTTGAACAGACCAAAATAAGTATTTCCACAGTGGGGACACAGAGAAACCCTTTTGAACATCATTAAATGTTATTAATGAAAGACAGTATGGTAAAATAGGTACAGTGTATGTCTGGGGGGGTGATAACTAGTGGGAAAGGAAAATTAAATGAAGATGAAGGTGAGGGTATATGGTTGATAGACTTCATATACCTATATGGAATAGAACAAAGAAACCCACTACAATTGCTTTAAGTGGAGTAGAGAGGGGGTTGAGGAGGAGAGAGGATGGGGATGATCTACCCAGTGTACAATATAAGCCTAATTGGAACTCTCACTAGGAATCTCCCCTGTATAATGAATATAACCAAACAAAAAATTTTATAATAAAAAGACTTCCCTATATCTGTTTTATTTGTCCATTGCACAATTTAAAATTACTGTTCTGGGAAGTGGTTTCATATTTACCCAATGAGAAATAAAAATGTGATCTAAATCAGGAATAAAACTTTAATAATGTCTCTTTATTATATTATTGTTGTACTGGGGGTACATTGTGACATTTATAAAAGTGCTTACAACATATCTTAGTTGAATTTACTCCTTCATTCTCTTTTATCCTTCTTCCCCCACTTCTTAGATCATAATGTCTTTTTAAATTTTTAAACCATCCCCACCAGCAATATGGGAATTCTAGGCTGTAACATTAATATCCATGTTTAAAGAGATCCCTGGCTACCTTACACAATTTCTTTATTCCTTTTAGCAACTTAGTTCAATTCTAAACTACCAGTATTATTAAAAGCATCTCAAAGCCAGGTGCTGGTGGCTCGTGCTTGTAATCCTAGCTATTTGGGAGGCTGAGATTGGGAGGACTGCAATTCCAGGCCAGCTCAAGCAAAAATTTTCTCAAGATCTCATCTTAATGGAAAGAAAGGTGGGTATGGGGGCACATGCCTTTCCTTCCAGCAATGGCAGGAAGTGTAAAATAGGAGGACTGTGGTCCAGGCTGGCCTGGGCAAAAAGTGAGACCCTATCTCCAAAATAACCAGAGCAAAAGGGTTTGGCATGTGGTTCAAGAGGTAGAGTGTCTGCCTTTCAAGAGTGAAGCCCTGAATTTAAATCCCTGCATTGACAAAAAACAATTTTTATAAAAAGCATCTTAAATCTTCCTTTGTCTTGCTTTTTTTCCTACTTCAATTTTATAAACTTGAAATCACCAAACAGCTAATATATATTCCATCTTTACTTCTTGAAATTATATTATTTTAATTCCTATGACTTAAATGGCTTTGAAATATATGCATTCTGAAATAATTGGTAATATTATCTGGCTTTAAAGGTCAGCATTAGGGAAGAACACATAGTGTTTCTTTATTTTAAAGCAAAACAAAACTGCATTAAGTCCTAACCTCATAACTTGCCATCATTCCTACATAAAATAAAAGGTAATAAAAGATATACAACCTATAATTACTGTTTCTGATAATAGAAGGTAACAAACCTGTCCAAATTTGTCCTCATTCTGTGAGAGTGTGCCCTATTCTAACAGACAATTGACATTCTGAAGTGTCAATTACTGTGTGCAGTGAGATTGAGATACTATTTATAATTCCTTAAAATGAAAGTAGGGTCTATCTGCACTCACCATTTTAAAATAAGGGTCTATCAGTGAAATTAAGTAATAATTAAATCCCAAATTGTCAGGAAAAAAAATCATGTGTATTTTTTCAGGGGGAGAGGATTGATAGTTTATATTAGATTCTCTCTGAGATTAATAAAAGGCTAAATTCCACTAAAATAAGCAGCACTTGCTTATGGGTATTCCTCTTTCTATCCTTTCTTTCACTTCTTTTAGTATCTTCCAAATTCATTGGAAAGTGCATTGAACTAGAATTCGTAAGACCTGGGCTCTGCCTCAATTCTATTACTACATCATGTGGATTTGGAGGAATAGCATCTCTCTGAGCTTTACTTTTCTATACTAAAATATAGACAGCAATACCCTGAGGTTCCTCCAAACTGAGAAAGGCATAGCCCGACTTTCAAAAAAGCATCTCATTCCTCTCCCCTGAAAGGAGATAGCTATTGAAATAAATCAAGATAACAATCTGAAGATAAAAGAAGAAATCTTTTTAATAGCTAAGACATTTGAAAACTTCATTCTGCAACTGCGTATTGAAAGATGTCAAATCAGGAAAGGAAACGATGTGATCCATTTTGTCGTTGCACAGGAGACCAGCCTGGTTGCCAGTGGTGCTGGCTCCAAGCCTACACAGTGGAATCCTGCCCTTGGTAAGTCATTCTTGCCAGCAGCCTTCTGTCAGTCTTCATAAAACACATCTTTCCACAATTGCATTCAATTTAATTTATGTTATAAATGAAGGGAAGGTTGCCGTCTTAAAATAGTCACTCCATCTGTACTTTAGAACTACTTCGTATCATTGCTGTTATTTGTTTATGTGCCATCTCAGCCCTGCATTCTAGTTCATCCCATGTGGGGAACATCAGAGCAGTAGTCTTTCTGATGGTTGAGAAGCACAAATAAATGTATTTATGTATGCTTAAAGACCCTGAATATTTTAGTTTAAATGATCTTGCCCAAAATATAACACTTTCTACAAAGACTGGTGCCTTTTCTGTCATTTTCTACTTTCTCTTTCTTTCACTTATCCTCTCAATGAAAGACAAACCAAAAAAATACTATAATGATAAGCAGTATATAGTAGAACTTACTATGTACCAACCATGGAATCCAGCACAGATAAATATTTTCAACATATTAATGAATTAATAAATACATGAATGCAATTAATGCTCACTGCAGCCCTATGAGGTAGGTACTATTGATACCCCATTTTAAAGCTGAGGGAACTGAGGCATAGAGAAATTGTGTCACCCTTGACATAAATGTTAAATGATGGAGCCAGAATTTAACTCCAGATATCAGGCCTCTGAGTCTTGGCTACTGAACACATTATGATTATAGTTGAAATAAAGATAGGACACTGATATTTATTCAAATATCAAAAAGTACTTCTTGAATGTGCTGAAAATATGAAAGCAGATAAGATATAATCCCCAGTCTCAAGAAGCAAATAGTCACTCAGGAGGTGGTGGGGCTGGGAAGAAGCAAGTAGTGAGAAGTGGGAGGCAGAGCCAGGCTGCAAGAAGTGAGAGCTTTAACAGAGATGATGAAACTCAAACCCAGAGAGTGGGCCACCTTGATCCTTGGACAAGCCCATCTTCAGTCCATGAGCTTGTGAATGTAGCACAGTTCCTCGTACAGTGGCCCTCAGGGAAGAGATGGACAGATGGAGCTGCTCAAGGCCAGAGAACAGGACTCATTTGTCTCCTGGCGCTTGGTATCCCTGACTGATGGGTTCTGTCATGGAGAAAAGAGACACTGGGTGAAATGTGAGTAAGGCAGAATAAAAAGAAGCCCTTTGGAGTTTTCTAAGAAGGTTCCAGACAGACTGAATAATGATAGTTCTCTAGATAGGGCTCTGGATGTGTTCCAACCCCATGAATGCTGGCCCTTGATTGTCAAAGCACTGATAAACACCAAAGAACTGACTGTTCCATAGCTATGGCTCACAAGAATCTGGATATTGTAAAGTATTGGATCATCATTCAACATAATCCTTGAGTAGGTGATAATGGTCTCCAAAATGGATATTACCATAAAGAAATTCATGAGCAGCAGACTGGTCTGGGTAGCTCGTGGTTCTAGGGAGGCTTTTGCAGAAAGGCTGATGCTGTGAAGATGCTGAGACTGCTTCCTATGTCTGCACAAGAGAGTGATCATGTATCCACCCGAAAAGACCATGATACCCATAAAGAAGGTTTCCCTGAAGGTCAACAGGATGGAAAATGTGTGCCTTATGTAGTAACTCTGGGATAAAAGAGAACAAGATTCAGTTACATAGGTAATATTGTCTGAGGTCAAATTGGGGTGGCAGTAAGAGAGATTAAGAGGTGACTGCTAATGGATGCATAGAAGACCCACAGGAAAAGAAGAGAACACAGTTGGAGTAGAAGGATTTATGTTTGAACTTTGCTATACGGGAGTTTCTGGGGCTGATGTTAGTGACCTGGATGATTCTTGGCAGACAGGTGGTACAATTGGACAGGCCCCTCACCACCCTGTGTACATAGATAAGGGATTTACATGTGATGACATCCTAACCCCCCTGAAACACAAAAATGTCTGTGGCTATGAATCCTGCCATTAGCAGCATCACTAGGTAGGTTAGGGCCAAGAGGCCAATGAGCAGGTGGGTGAGTTTGAGCTTGTGCTGGAGAATGAATATGAGGATGTGGAAGAGAAGAAGGATGGTATTGGCCAAGAGCCAAGTGCCTACTTCAGAATAAAGAATGTTTCTTATACTAGTAAAAAAAATAAAAAGAAGAAGAAGCAAATAAGTCTATGTTGCACTGCCTAATGTCACAGCCATAGAATTTTTAAACCCATTAAAATCACTGTAAGAAAAGAACAAAGAAAAAAATGGAGGGGATGAACCAGTTTGGGATATGATACATATATACATGGAAATATCACAATGAAATTCCCGGTATAGTATCTTAAACAAACAAATATGTCTTTAAAAAAAAAACGGAGGGGACAGGAAGGTAAAACAGGTCCTGTCTGGGGGTTGGCACCAGTGGGAGGAGGGAAGATATAAGGAAAAGACAAAGGATGGTGAATATGGTGGAAATATATTATGGTACTCATACATGAAAATGGAAAAATGAGACCTGTTGAAACTATTCCAGGAATGGGGGAAGGGGGATAAAGGAGAATGATGGAGGGGGTGAATTCAATGATGATATATTATAAGAACTTTGGTAAACATCACAATGGACCCCCAGTACAATAATAATATGATAATAATTTTTTATTTTAATAATTTAACATAACATTTCAATGAATTTATTCATAATTTATTATATGATTTATAATTTAAATGCATATTATTTTAGTAATTTAAATACATATTATTTAAATTAAATAAATTTTAAAATTCAGTTTTTCAATTGTCCTGGCTATATATTTTTCTCTCCCTTTTTATTTACTGGCATATATTAATTGTACAAAGTGGATGCACTGTGAGACTTCCATACATGCATATGAATCACCTTAATCAAATTCACCCCTTCCACTGCTCTTTCCTCTCCCAGCTGTATTGTGAGTGCTTACAATCATGTGTGACTAGTGGCTGCATATTAAACAGCACATCATTGCTGAAAGTTCTAGAAACAATGCGGGTTGTATTTGTGAGGGGGAATTTCAATAGCCTTGTACCAGTGCTACACAGAATGACAAGTTGCCCCAGGAGCACAGGAAAGGGGCCTAACTTGAGACCACAGACATAGAAATTCTTTCCAGTACAGGTGGTACCAAAGCAAAGATCCTGAATGGTAAGTGAAAATTAGGCAGGCAAAGAGAGGGAATGAGTGTCTTTGCAGAGGAAAGACATTTCTTAACTATTTTCTAACAGGACTCTTTCAGATCAAAAAATCAGTACTTAAGTTGTATCCTCAAAGAACATGAAATATTACGCCAGAATACTTGGGAACCCAGCATGGACATGGATCATGGCATGCAGTGAGGAACTGCCCTGTGCTGAGGCAATGCTAGCTGTTGTCCCACAGTGCAAGGTCTACACATGCACTTACCATGCAGCCCACTAAGCAGAGATTTTTCAACTATCATTTTGTATCACATCACGTGAAATATTACAGGCTATGACCCAGTCCTTGTGGGGTAGTTCTCTGTATTTCTCTTCAGTCTCATTTCTTAGGCAATGAGAGAGTGTCAGAAAGCAGTGACAATTATGAAAATATCAAAGGCTTCTTTGCCCACCATGCCAAGTTCTTAACAGCTTCATGGAGTGCAGTCATATCACTCATTATTTTTATAAGAAAGGATGTTGTAGAATCAGTATTGTATATTGAAATAATAATCTTATGACTTTTCTACCACATTTCAAGGGCATAAGTTTGGAGCTTTCATCAATATGGTAAAATCATAGATATTAACAAGGATTTAATAAGCTGTACACACAAAAAATCATTCTCAAAGGAACACATTTAGAAGAATATTATTCATTAATTCATTGGCAAAGGATTATACGAATTCAAACAGGAATTAGAACTGAATGACTTATGAGACTAACTAGGAAAATATATGAATTTTTATTTCTGAGGTCGTCAGTTTTCATTTTTCTGAGTTGAGTAAGATGAAGGGAATTTTTACTGAAAATAAACTTGGCATATGAGTACATCTTAAACAAAATTGGCCCTATCTTTTCCTTAATATTTATTTACTTGGAAGACCCATTACTACTTTTTTGTTAGCTTTCTATGTTCTTCCTTTTTATATAAAAATGACAAAAGGGAGAGAAGACAGGGATAAAGCCTGAGATTGGTCATTTAAAGTTCATCATATTCTGGAAAAAACTGATTTCATAAAAAGCAAGCATGTACATTTCTAGTTATTGTTTCATCCTACTGTTCTAGAAACCACAAGGAACCTAAAACCATAAATCTTACTGGCCTTTCATACCTTCTGTCTGCTAAGCCTTTGTGGTATACACAATAGTGTCCTATTTATTCTTGCCCTCGATCCACATAAGAGCACTGAAATGTAGACAAAACAATTAACTTCACCTCTGTTTTTTTGTTGTTGTTGTTGTTTATTTGGGGTTTTTTTGTTTGTTTTTTGCAGTACTGGGGTTTGAATTCAGGGCCTCATGCTTGCTAGGCAGATACTCTACTACTTGAGCCACTCTACCAGTCATCACCTCTGTTTTAGAGAGGGAAAAATAAGTCTCAGAGAGGATCACAATGGTGATCCAAGACCACCATATAACTGGCCTTCACCCCATTCTTCTGACTCCTTATTCAATGCTCTTTTTCACTCTGAGTCAATACATTTAGGGAAACAGAATAGCAACTGAGCTAATCCTTGTCACAGAAGGTCAGCCTATCCTTTCTGTGGACTCAGGGGGAGACCCAGTCACTGGAGCTCTTACAATAACTACATTACCTGCCTGGAAGTTGTGGTAGTGATTGGATAAACAACACTACCTCTGAAGAAAAACATTCAACCTGGGTACAAAGGGGTGGTGCTTGTACAAATTCTAGGAAAGGCAGGTTGCATTAGTCATTTTTGTGTTACTGTAATAAAATATCTGAGATGTTAAACTTATATGAGAAGAGGGTTACTTTTGCTGAAGATTCTACTTCAAGATTGGGTGACTCATTGCTCTGGACCTCTGGCAGAGCTGCACACCACAGCGGGCTTGCACAATGAGCCAGGAAGCAGGAGAGAGAGACTGAGAGAAATGGTAAGGGCCTACCATCTCCTTAGAAGACATGCCCCAATGACCTAAAGACCTCCCATGAGACCACACCTCCTGGGATTCTACCATCTCCCAATAGCATCACTGTAAGGACCAAGCCTTTAACCCAGGGGCCTTTGTGGGGGGCACTCACCCACATAGCACAGGTCTTCTGCACTAGGAAGATGAGCAGGGAGTGCTGGAGAGGTGAGAGGCATTGTAAGCCTGGAAATCATGTAAGCAACACACTTTTGATACTACTCCTACTACTCCAAGACATGTGTCCTTATAGCATAAGAAAAGGTCAGAGAAAAGAATGCTAGAGCTGTAGAATATCCTAGAAATCATGTCCTTCAACCTCTTTATAAAGGACGATACTGAAGCTCAAACATGTTCTGCCTCTTTCAATGTCCTAGAGCTCAACAGAGCCAGGCGTAGAACTGGCATCCATTCCCTGACTCTAAATGCACTGCTTTCTTGCACAGACTCTAATTCAGCATTAACCAGACTGCTCCACAGAGCTCCACTGTCTTCAGAAATGTAAATAGATACTCCTATCAATGAATCAAGCAAGCAAATAATGAGATGTGAAGTTCTATATGCAAGTAAGTTTGGGAAATGCAACGTTAACAATTTTGAAAGCTTTTACTGCACAAGTTCTCAGAGCCTTTAACATGATAATATACACTATGTATTTCTCAAAGCCACTGCTACATTGTATATGATTTCCTTAAACTTTTTACCATGAAACCTTTTTTTGAGGAAAACCTATTACCATTACTGTCACATGGTATTAAATTTCCACAGTATAAAGTTGGGAAAACGCAGCTCTAATATTATGAGATGTTCTCAATGGAATTTTGAGTGACTTTTTTAATGTTTGAAAAAGGGAAAGAAAAGGAAATAGCTTCAGCTTCTGGCAGTACAACTCTCTACAAAAGAACTAGAATACAATTTCATTGAATTCTTAGGCTCTTAGAAAGCAAGAAAACACTTAAAGGGAGTAATCTCCAACTTCCAAAAAGAACCCAGGAGCTAAAACCTGAGCACGGCACACACATGTACACACACACACACACACACACACACACACACACACTGCATGCACAGGAAGAAGGAAGGAGGGATGCCTTCGGGAGACCTGTCCATTTCAGTGCTGCAATCAGGAGACTGAGCCTTGAGGCACAGGTGATGAGGACAAGCTGAGTCTGAGACTGAATTAAATTACAGACCTGATTAAGATGCTGAAATGATCACAGGTAGCAGATCCTGGCATCTAGCAGAAACAAAGAGAAATTCTCTAAGGAGAATTTAACATAAGCCTTAGATTCAGCACAGATTTGAACAGATCAATCTGTGCTTACATCAACATCACCGCAATAAGAAAACAAATAAAAATGAGTACAAGTCAGCAAGGAAAAAGGAAGATTTAAGCTGCCAGGAATTTCAATTACAACAATCATAAGATAAAAATTATGAATTTTTATGAAATAATTGTGTAATAATTTTATGAAAATGATGAAATAATTGCATAAATAACATTTTTTAGAAAACATTAAAGACTGAACTTTCACTTCTAGGGTGATGGAGTAGACATGCTTTTTTTCTATTCTTTCCATTAATTACAATTTAAAACTTTGACCATTTTATATATATATAAATATACTTATATGTATATAGTCTCTCTCTATATATATAGTCTAATATTTATGTCTCAGAGTTTGAGACTAAGAAGAGACAGGGGGTGAGGCTGAAAAAGTACACAAAGAAAAAATGACTAAAAAATTTCACAAATTTGGCAAGACACAGAAACCTGCAATCAAACAAAATAAACCCCAAAGAAATTTACAAGAAGAAACATCTTAATTAAACTTTTAGGAGCAGGGAGAGGGAGGGAGCAGGGAGGTAAGGGAGGGGGCAGGGGGAAGGGGGGAGAAATGACCCAAACATTGTATGCACATATGAATAAAAGAAAAAAAATAAAATAAACATTTAGAAACCAAACACAGGACCGGGCATAGTGGCACATGCCTGGCTATTTGAGAGGTGAACTTCAGGAGGATCACAGTTCATGGCCAGCCCCAGTGAAAAAGCTTATAAGAACCCCTTACTCAACAAACAAGCTGGACATGGTGATACACATCTATAATTCCAGCCACAGGGGAGGAAGGTAGATTGCTGTCCAAGGCTGGCCTTGGGAAAAAGCAAGAGACCCTATCTGAAAAATAATTAAAGTTAAAAAAAAGAGGGGAGGTGCTGGAGATGAAGCTCAAGTTGTAGGGTACCTGTCTAGAAAGCAAAGGCCCTGAATTCAAACCCCAGTACCAAAAAAGAAAAAAACTCTTGAAAGTAGCCAGAGAGCTAAAAATCACTTCTTACCTGTATGGGAGAAACAGTTAGGATGACAGCAGATTTCTCACTAGATGTCACAAGAACCAAAGGAAAGTGACATAATATTCTTTCAAGGAACTGTCAACCTTGCCTCCTATACACAGCAAAGATAGATAGATAGATAGATTTATATATATATATACATTTTTTTCACTAATGAAAAGAAATCAATACATTCTCTAATGAAGGCAGTAAAGGAACACTAAGAGTTGTCACCAGCAGACCTTCCTTATAAGAAAGGCTAATGGGGGTTGGGAATGTGGCTTAGGGTAGAATGTGAGCTTAGTATGTGTCAGGCTTTGGATTCAATGTCCCACAAAAGAAAAGCTAATGGAAAGTCTTCAAACAGAAAGAGAATGATCAAAGAAGAAACCCTGAAATATCAGCGAGTGAGAGAGAAGTAACCTTGAAATATCAAAAAGGAAGGAAGGATACAATAGGCAACAATATGGAAAACACCATATCTTTTCCTTCTCCTCTTAAGAGTTTTAAATTATACTTGACAGTTTTAGCAAAAGGTAAAATAAATGGTGATTCTAAATATATTTACAGAATATATTTAAGACAATTATAATATAAATAGAAAAGGATCATAAAAGAAAGTAAGATTTCTATATTTAGGGCTGGCAGAGTGGCTCAAGTGGTAGAATGCCTGCCTAGCAAGTGTGAGGTCCTGAGTTCAAACCCCAGTATCAGTAAAAAAAAAAAAAATCTATATTTCACCTTAACTAATAAAATGATGATAGTGGTAGATTGTTAATGTTTTGCTTATGAAATGAATAGTTAGAACAACTAAAATAGCTTATCTCACTCAAAAATACTATAGACACACCAAAATGGAATCCTAAATAACACTCAAATGATGCACAGGCAGGTGGGAAAGAGAAGAAGAGAAGCTGAAAGCAAAGAAAACAAAAGCTAAAATGACAAACTTAAGTCTACAAGTGTCAACAGTTGCATGAGATGTAAATAATCTAAATATGTTCATCAAAATAGAGATTTACAGAATTAATTACTTGAAACTCAGCCCAACCATGTGTAAGAAAATCACTTCAAATGTAATAATATAGGTATGTTGAAAATCCCCTAAAAGGAAAAAGATATCTCATGAAAACAATCAAAGAAAGCTATATTACATCAAAGTAGACTTCACAGTAATGAAAATTCCCAAAGACAGAGAGGAACACTATACGTGATGAAACAAAAACAGATAGCTAGCACTAAAGGAACAGATAATCCACAATTAGAATAGGAAGCTTCAACAGCCCGCTCAAGTCAATAGAATGACTACACAGAAAGTAGCAAGGGCATAGAAGAATTCAACAACATCAGCCAACACTGTCTAACTGACTATTTTCTTTGGGGAGAAAATATTTTCTCTGGGGATAAAACCCTGGGTCTTCCACATGCTCAGTGTTCACTCTGCCATTGAGCCACACCCCACAGACCTCTAACAGACATTCCACCCAGCAAAATACACAATGTTTTTCAGCATCTACAGAACATGTACTAAGATAGCCCACCCATGGGCCATAAAGAGAACTCAAAACCTTTAAAATAATTGAAATCTCAGAGTGTGTTCTCCAACCACAACAAAATCAAGCTAGAAATCGATGTCAGAAAGACAATAAGAAGATTGGCAGACATGTATAAACCAAACAACACATTTGTAAATATCCACAGGTCAAAGAGGTAGCCTCGATGAAATTTTTAAATTACACATTGAGCTGAATAAAAATTAAAATACTATATCAAAATTTGTGAGGCATGGTTAAAGCAGTGGTGAAAAGGAAATTTATTGCACTAAATGCACAGATTAAAAAAGAAGAAAAGTCTCAAATTCAATAATTTAAGCAAACCCCAACTCCAAAACTTAAAAAAACAGAAAACAAAAAAAAAGTGAGAAGGAAGGAGATAATAAAAATAAATTGCCAAAGTCAAAACCAGAAAAGCAAACAAGAAGATAAATGAATCAAAAAGTTAGTTCCTTAGAAAAATTGATGAAATTCACAAACTTTTAGCAAAACTGACAAATTTTAAAAAGAGAATGAGAGAAGATGCAAATATAAACACCTGTGCCTACATATTACTGGTAGACTTATTCCTGATTACCAAACCTGGAGTCAGTTCCAACGTCCTCCAACAGATGAATGACTAAACAAACGGTGGTACATCTGCATCACTGAATACTAAAGAGCAAAGAAAAAGAATGAACTTTTGATGCATGAAGCAACCAGGGATGAGTCTCCAGAGAATTATCAAGTGAAAAGGGCAGTCCTGAATGTTGTATAACACATTCCATTTATATAACATTCTTAAAAATGACAAAAATTAGTGATTTCTGGGGGCCGAGGAGAGGGATGAGGTGGAAGGGAAGCGATTATCTACAAGAACCACGTGAGGGATCCTTATGGTGACGAAAATGTCCAGGAGAGGCCAACCTGAAAGCCAAGACTCTACTGCTCTGCTTGAGCTTGTATCAATGCCAGCATCCTGCATGCCGTATTGTCCCATGGTTCTGCAAGATGTCACCATTATGTAATAGCTTGTATTATCTCTTATAACTGCATATGAGTCTATAATTATCTTACAGTTACCATCTAACTAACCATCTAAGACAAGGAAATAAAAGAATGAAATAAAGGAGAGATTATTTTTCAAATGTTCAGAGAAGTTTAAACATTAAGTGCAACTTTCAGTATCATTTTGCTCCCTTTTCATCACCAAAATTCCTCTCTAAGGAGTGAGATGCAAAACTGGCTGCTCTAGGTTTACCTGGAGGGTAAATGCACCCAAATGCACAGAACTGGCTGTCCTCCTTACAGTTGTACTAAAACCCTTGCTACAAACTTAAAACAAAAAGCTTCTACTGGTCCCCTCAGTATTTATCTTTCAAACTCAGTTTTCCATAAATTATGTCCACTGAAAATTAAGTTGCTTCTGGAAGTTGCTAGCAATGCCATATGTGGGAATTTTTGCACTCCTCACTGTCTGAAACCCCAAAGAATAATTTCTAAAAATTCCTCAACGTGCTCTGTAGGATTCAAAGTGACCTCAGAGGCCCAGACCTACCATGCTATGACCAGTAGAGTTCATTTATTAGGAAGAAAAATTCAAACAGAGCAGCAAGGCTCGATTTTCAGGCTTCTTCTTCACTTGTACACTGAATATCTAAGAGCCGTTAATCAGAGATCAGAGATGGGAAATCCTAGGGGAAAAACAGCTCTCACCACATCATGGTCAAACTTCTCTATTAGAACATTTCCTTCGTGTACAGAAACCAGTCTCGTTCACAACACCAACTCCATCATCTTGCCTTCCTTTGTCTTTTCAAGTCAAATCTCTAGAATTTTCTAAATTAGAGTCAATCAAGATCTGACGTTATAAATGACACCAGGCATGCGTTGATGCCAACATTCACGCTCCTCTAGGGCAGCAGACAGGAATTTGGTCCCAAGTACAGCTGGACAAATGGACGTCATGTGAGAACACACACATATGAAGGTTGTTGCTTCGCTGATGCTACCACACGAAAAGGGACTGAATTTCACAAATGCCTTAGCTATACGCCATGTTCCTGACAGCCCATGAAGCACACATCAATATCCAAGGGAAAAGGGATTGAAATATAAGTCTTATAGTTTAGAATGTTTTGTTTTCAGAATAGAAGTGTCTATCTAGAAATAAAACTCCTTTTTGTTCCTAAAGAAAAGACAATGGAAGGAGCATCTTTTATTTTTTGTCACATTTCAACAACATACTAAGCAAAGTAAGGAGACAGTGAGTTTTATTACAGAAATAATAAGTAGCTCATATTTGGACTTAGAGCCCCTTAAATGTACTCATCAGGGGTTTGCAGTTCTTCTTCATGCTTATTGTACTGTGGAAAGTTTAATATTTATTCAAGGAGTTACTAAAGAGCATGACTAGGTCTGAGTCTAATTATCTGTGTAGCCACATATTAGCTTCATGTCTTTGAGCAAATCACTTTTTCCCTCCCAGCTTAAATTCCCAAATGACAATTACCTGCCTTTCCTACTTCTTGAAGGCTGTGCCCAAGCAGATCTCTATTTCACACCGATAATACTGAATTATGCATTTCAATCTCTTTCTAGTCCATGCTACAACATGAATTCATTGGTTTATGCTCCAATTCAAAATACCATGAGAAAGAAATGCATATTTCTCTATCTCAATGATTGACAAATTATGTCCACTTAAAATAAAATCATGGTAGTAAAGGTTTCAATTCAAAATCATTTCTTTAAACAGATGGCAAAGAAATGTGGTATGTGGGATAAAGTGCAGATAAATGACTAATAGGAAAAGATCATTTAGTAGAAGAGTCCTAGGAATGAGGATTTGAAAAAGACTGTAAAGAACATTTGGTCCAATAAAAAGAATTTGCAGCAGCCAGAATGGGTGGTTTAGGGATGGTAATGAATACTTCACTTGATTAGTTCCAGGCATTTTTGGCAGTTTTTTCTTTCCTGGGTAGCTTTTTGAAATGTCTTCTTCAGGGTGACCCAGTTTTCCTTCTAACTGCCAAACTTTGATCCTAATTCTGCCTGGTGTTGTAAGATAGAAACAATTTCTTTTCTTACCAAAAGTTTGTCCAGAGTTGGCAGACAACTGGTCTATCTTCCTTAGCTTTCTCAAGCACAGGTTCAACAACTCCTATGTGAAATTCTTGCCATGCTCAGTCTGTTCATCATAAAGTAGACTGAACCATCGGGTGCTGCTTTAAAGCAGCCCACAGAGAGCAGCATATGATTTTAGGAAAAGCATATTATTGACTGTCAGAAAATTTGAAGGTGGGTCTTAATTCTAGCAGTTTCTAAATGTGTGACCCTGGAGAATTCCTTTAACTTCTAACTTCTTATATTGCCCTTGGATGGTTTGTTATCAACATTATACCAATTTTGCCAAAGAAGTTGGGTAATATGTCACTTTTCATCACCATGACAAAATACTTGAGTAAATCAACTTGAAGGAGGAAAGAGGTTTTTTGGCTCATGATTTCAAAGGTTTTAGTCCATAGTCAGCTAGTTCCATTACTTTTAGACCTGTGGCAAGGCAGAAATATTATCATGAAAAAAGATTACGGAGGAAGGTTACTCACCTCATGGCAACCAAGAAGCAGGGAAAGAGAGAAAGAATCCAGGGACAAATACACATTCAGAGATTCACACCAGTGACCCACTTCCTCCAACTAAATTCTCCTCCTAACAGCCCATCGAGCTATGAATTCTTGACATGGATTAATTCATGGATGAGGTTAGTAACTTCGTGGCCCAATCACCTCTCAACAGCACCACCAGCAGGGAATTAAGATGTCAACACATGAGCTTTTCAGGGACTGCTTCATATGCAAACCATAATAGATAGTATTCCTTTTCCTTCTATAATCTGGAAAGGTTCGTATATGAAGTATGTCTCAAGTAGCAAGTAAAGTTCCATAAAGTGATAAATAACATTTTACAGACTTCTAACAGATAAGAGAATATCCCTCTCTAACCTATCTTTTTATCAATATTAACAAAGAATTATCGAGCCACTATTCTAGTTAGAATATTATAAGTCCTTAATAGGCACGGTAAGATTATAAGATAATTAAAAGGGGATATTAACTGAAAGAAGCTCTAAGGGTAAAGTTTTCTTATACTTTTTACCATAATCCAATTTTATATAAACACATAAATGTAACAAAAATTACACAAAATATACTCTTAATACATGCAATGAACCATGAAATTTTGTATTCTAATTGAGTCTCTCTTTTTTATAAAAAAATTTCTGCTATGATTGACTTGGTTAATTTTATGTCCATTATTGTGTCACCACATATAGTTTTTAAAATTCTACTTAGTGGATCTTGGGATTTTCTTCAGAACCAGCCATTAATTCTCTATGTGACCCAGATTACTTACCTTCTCTGTGTCTGTTTCCTATAAAATGCCACCGAGATTATAGACTGCTGAAAGTGTAAAATGAGACACACGTTTTAGGATTATTGTGAAGGGGGCAAAAAACGTAAGAAAAGTAATGTTTTATTCAAGGATTATTATGAGGCCCATAACTGCTCTCGGAATTGGATTTTGTATCATAATACAGAAATGTAGAATAGAAAAATAACTTTAAATGATGAATTTAAAAGAGTAAGTAAAACATGGAACTACCATAAGGCCTAGAAATTGCACCCTTGTGTATTTCTCCCAGAGAAATAAAAATGTGTGCTCACACAAAAACCTGTTCACAAATATTCATCATAGCTTTATTTGTAATAGCTTGAAATTGGAACCAGCCCAGATGTATTTAGGTGCACTGTTAAACAAACTCTGATACAGCCCCACACAATGGTACACTACTTACCAAAAAAAAGGAACAAACTAGTGATAGATATAACCGGTAGGATAAATCTCCAGAATTATGCTGAGAAAAAAAAGTCAATCCCAAAAGATTAAAGACTATATATTTCCACTTATGGAACACTTTGAAATGACAAAATTAAAAATGGAGGACGTGCTAGCAGTTGCCACGGTTGGAAGCAGGGCAGGCTGGCAGAGGGGAGTGAGTATGGTCACTAACGACCCAGAGCATAGGTCCTGTGGGGAAGGAACTCTTCTGCATTTTAACTATCACAGAGGCTACAAAAGCCTACATTTATGATAAACTTGACTAAAACCAAATACACACAAACACACAAAAATGAGTACATGGAACACTGGGTAAATCTGAATCAAAGTGATGAATTGAGTCACTCTCAGTAGCCTCATTGTGGTGCTGGAGCATAATTCTGCCAGTAGTGGGAATGGCACCAAGTCATGTGGAATTTTTCTAGATATGGCTTACAACTGGAGATGACTATAATTATCTCAAAAAATATCAACCTAAACATGATTATACACAAGTTGTGGTCTTCCCCTCCACAAATGCCCCTTCTGCATGAGCACACACAACACACACACACACACATATCTTCAGATTAGGGTAAGCTCTCCCCAGATGGTCAGTTGGACAACTTGAAGACCCAAGGCAAAGAAATCCTGTCTCTCTTTACACAATTACCACCACAGTCTCTGTAGACATCGTGGTCAAACCTGTCCCTGTTCCTTCTACTCTTGACTAGGAACAGTCTGTGTTTCTTGCCCACAAAATTCATTACTTACTTATTAATTTAAAAAGAAATCTGCTTGAAAAAAATAAGACAATTAGCAGAATTGTGGTTTGGCGTGTTGTATCAATCAAGCAATCTAGAAATCAATGTGATCAAGTCTGGTGTGCAAAGGTTTCTTTCTGGCTGGGTGCTGAAGAATTAACTTTTCAGGAAAAGAAAAGAGCAACAGAGAAGGCAAAGTGTGTGCATGGGACATAGGCAGAGTGTTGTCAGATTCTGCAGGGTCTTGAACTTCATTTAAGAAAGAGTTATTTTGGAAAGGTATCCTGGATGGCAATAGAGGAGGGGCAAAGATAGTGGACCCTAGAACGAGACCCCAGACCACCCCAAAGTGGCT